GAGTTCCTACACGTCAAGCGAGACTGGAACCAAAGCGCGGACAGGTTAGCTAACACCGCACTACATCAGTAAGAAGGCGCAGTGGTTATCGCGGAAGCAAACTGCGACGATTTGGTGGTCCTCAACCGGCTCCAGGAGCTCCTACTCCCGAAGGACGAAGGGTCTGTCGTCCGGATGGCCTCGACGACTCGATCACGAACACGCTCGAAGAACTCGGCGGAGGTGCTACAACTAGATGTGGCTCAACGCATCAGGACGGATCGGGTTTTGCGAGCACAGAACGAAGAAAAGTGGATCGTAAACCTCAAGGCGTACCTGGCAGGCGACTTGGAGAGCCTAGATGCTGGCGATGCGCGAGCTTGCGGCAAAATCGCGGGCGACTACGACGTGGACGACGGTGGGATGCTCCCTTACTGCCCACGCGCGGGAAGGGACGACGGTGACCACGATCGTCTGGCGAAGCTGGTGGTGCCAGAATACCTACAGTAAGATGTACTTCACCATTATCACACGAGTGTGGAAGGAGGACATCAAGGGGTCGGAAGAACGTACCAGCGAATCAGGACGCACTTCCACTGGCTTGGCGATTGCACGGCCATTTGCCAGGGTCGATTGAATCGGCCCTTTTGGAAATTTTGAGTAAAACTCATATTAGAGAAGTGAGACACTCGCCAAACGTGGTTAAATTAAGGGAATGTAAATCGTACTTTAATGAAAACGTACATAACAGCATAATAGCATTTACAATTAGAATATTGAAATACTAAACTGACGTTGTATTGGCCAATACTGCAATATACTGGTTGATACAATCAACACTACCTCTGTTTCTTTTTTAAATGACTAGCATTATTGGAAAACCTGTCACCACCATGTCTACTGCTGCGTCTCGCTTCCATCTTGCGACTTTTGACTGGTCTGGGTTTGTGTCTGCTGAGTTTGGTCACCCGACAATTTGGTGAAGATGGCGCCAAGCCCTGCGATTCCGTCTTCACTTGCACGACCGTAGAAGCCATTTAGCTGAAAACCCTTCGGCGCTTTCGCGACGGCACTGTTAGCCGTAGTCGTTCCATGCTCGATGGAATTGCCCTTACTCGTTGTCAGTTTAAGGTAAAAGATGCACGTGTGTCCATCCTTCTTGTCCCAGTGAACCTCCATGGAATTGATGTACTCCCCCTCCTGCAGAGACAACTTATTCGAGGTTCCACCAGTGCCACCGTGAGAAAGAGTACTTTCAGTCGGATCTGACACCGCGAGGGTCACAGCATCGACACGTCGAGCGCCACGAATCGCAATGGAGCTTACGGTTTGTCCAGGCTCGACGAGTCCTAGATCAGTGAAGTAGGTGCCGTGTGGGCCACCGAAGGCTTTGCCGAGGTTAAAGTCGGGGTTCGCAGACCAGGAAAACGTGGAGGAAATAGGCGGGTGGTCTGACAATGCTTTTCCGTTCTTGTCGAGGAATGCCTTGTTCTCGTTGTTCCACTTGTCCAGCTTCAATGTGACGTACTTGCCGCTGCGGTACATGATCTTGTCCACGACCTCACACTTGTTAGTCATGTTGGACGTCTCGCACTTGATGGCTTCAGCACCCTTCTTAGGTAGCTTACCCTTGCGGACGTATTCAATCCAGCCATCGGTCAAGTTTTGACTGGTCACGAACTCAGCGATCGTGTCGAGTTTACGTGTGTAGCGCGTGTTGGTGTCGCCCATGACGATGACGGCGTTACCGGCAGAGTTTTCGGTGATATAGTCGCCCAGTTGCTTCAGGTTGGAGGCTCGAGCTACTTGGTCGTTATCGGATACACCAGCATCCGCATGGAGATTGTACACATCAATAATGACGCCGTCCGCCAGTTGAACAGCTTGCATCGTGAACCCCTTGGGTGTCATGCAGTCAGCGCTCTCGTCATTGCTACATTCGCTCCATTTCGTGCGTTCCAGACCCAAAGTGCTGAAGGGGAGATTCGATAGAGTGTTGAGACCGCTACCGAAGGGTACGCCACCGCTCGTGGGTGTACGGTACTTTTGGGTGTTCTCCTTGTACAGGTAGGCATGATAGTTGAAGTCTTCTTGAACGTTGACGATGTCCCAGTCGCTGATGCGCTTGCCCATTTCAACGCTGTAATCGGCCGGGTCGCCGCTGGAGAGGATAGCTGGCAGCCCTGCAACATTGTAGCACAAGACTGAAAACGTATTCGCACCGGCCAACGCCATGGCTCACTCAGGTCGGACTGCTCTGAAGAAGACAACTTGGGAAGTGAGTACCAATTCCAACAAACAGCAAATGTATCGAGAGAGAAGCTCGCTCTCAACACTGTTACAGAAACTATGCCACACTCACTCAAACTCCTTCGATTGACGTTTACGAGCGCAGCAGATCACTCTTTGTAGCGCAAGCCAGGAATACAGATGAGCTTTGCGAATTTACATGAGGAGGGACCGATACATTGTTGCAGATAATATGCATAGCGTTCAATCTCTAACCTACAGATGTTGTTACGGTAAAAGCGCTTGTGCAGAACGGTTGAAAAGCGTTGTGTCTGAGGAAACGAATCGGTATCCGAGGATAGAGTGGCCGCAATCGGTTCCTACACCTCGTTTGGCAGTGATAACCAACATCAACATAACTACTTCCGACGCGTTTTGCTTGTGGTTCAAAAGTTACGCGGAGTTAGGCATAAACATGTTATTTTTACGGAAGTGGCAATCCATTTTTTGATAAGTTGCACATTGTCAAGTTGTTTGCGTGCCAATTTGTTGGATTATGGTAATAACACTTGAAATCAGTGGCCAGCCCGCACTATCTTACTCAGTCGACTTGCGGTGAGCATCAGGCTGTGCTGTTTTTATTTACAGTTTAATTTCGTGTTTAATTAGAATTGTGATTTGTTTGATAGTGTTTTATTGACTGAGTTACTTGGTACTTCTATTTGTAAAACAGACCCCTTCTTCTCGGGAAAATGACCAAAGCGGTGTAAATGCGTGTTTGAAATGTCGAACCAGTGTTTTAGTGGCTTGATCGGTGTGCTGTAAACAGTCGTTACCTTCTGAATTTTAGGCAGTGCCCTAGGATTAAAACTAAATACCTGAACCAGTGTGCACTACAGATGATAAGTATGGCCACGGCTCAAGGCCCGCGGGGGCGACAGAGGTGCGCGTCGTATCTCTTTGCTCGAAGCGCTGGACGCGCCCGTATAGATCAATACCGAAATGTCATGTCGACACCACACGAAAATAGCGAATTCCCTCCTGTAGGCTTGTTCGGATAGAGTTTATAGCCACGGCAGTGTCATAGCCCCTACAGACACCGGTCCTCGCCACCAACGAGACACCCGACGAGTCACAGCGAGACCAATGTTAAGTACGTTTACGTCCTAACTGACATCGTAACGAAGTAACTATGACGATTGACGAAAGGTTGAGCGTGGAGAACAATGGAAATTAAAAAGATATCACAGAGAAGCGCAGCCTAGCAAACGAGGCTTGGCATTGTAGTAGGTGCTGGCTGCAACAATGGCCATAACAAAGGATCATGGAATGCTGTCGATGCAAGGTACCGCAGGATTACGATCTTAAGAAGGAACAAAGAGGCAAAACCACCGCTAGAATGCACGACGACAACGGACAAGGTGGATCATGAGCATTGAGAGGACGTCACAGAAGTGGAATATCGTTGTGGGAGGCTGATCACAAACGAGGGATATACAAAGTTGCTAGATCGGTTCGTATTTTAGCGGGATATGCATCATGTATACTAAACTTGTAACAACTTTTCCAAAATGATTCGATCAGTGTATCAGATTTTGTTGAAATACATGATCAGTCATCGCACACAGATTCGGCTAAAATATATATTTACTCTGATTTGATCATTTCTCCCTATTCTTCTCGCTTGGACAGGAAGAGTAATGGCTTGGTTGCGTTCTCCATGCCTGGTGTATTTTAATTCTCTAATATTTTGGTATTAAGGTTAATAATAATAAAAAAGTACCGGCAAAAAATTAAAGCCATTCCTAAACCCTAAGCTCCTATTTTCGTGATTTGCGTCCGTATGGCTACCCGAATAGCATCCGTCCATGTTTGGGTCAATATTCTCCGCCAACTTATATTGAATCGACGGTTAAATATGAACCGTTCTTGGGGGATTGAACACTCTCAAGACAACTTTATTTGTAGCTAAACTAGTGAATCGAAAAAGTGCATGCCCGGACAACAGAAAAAGTTGCGTCCACCTCAAAACCATATGTTTGGACTAAAGATGCTGAAGCCTGTGTTCAAAGTCCTATCAAACAGCTTCGTTTGGAACTATATACCACTCACTCTCAATTTCTTGTAGACCAGTGGTTATCATTTTGCATTTTTCAGATTTACGGTTAAGCAACGTACATTATGCATAGCACATCATCTAACCAGTTGAACCTTGTCTTGGGAGGTCATACTACCATAACCAAAATTTTGAGTGGTAGGACTATTTTTTTGAAATTTTCACCAGAGAGACTTTTTATCTCAATGGCATGAATTATATAAGGTATGCCACCGCATACGTTGTGGGTATATATCGTAAGTATGTACAGGCCGACGGCTACGATAGGAGAATAAACCGTGTCAAACTGCCGAAGCGGGGCTATTAACATTGCTTTAGTTGGTATCATTTGGGAAGTATCTTAGCGTGGTGGATTGAATGCCACAGACACAGTGTGTGTGTCCACCCACATCGAATTGCAGCAAGCTTAGTGGCTGTACTATTACACGTACCCCGAATTGTTTAGTCACAATGTACCCTGAATAGGCCTGTGGTGTGCACC